ATTAAACTAGAACTGCCACCAGGGGGCGTCAAGTCACTGATTTTATTACTGAATCATTCATTGAATTGATTCGTTCGAACAGCTGAATCATTCAGGAACGAAAGTACGTGACTGTCTTCATGAATGGGTAATTAAATCATTGACTCACTAGATTCGTTTAAAAAACGCAGTTCATTCATAAAAGAATCACCGCTGTGTTTGAATGAAGATGCGCAGCGGCTCGGCTGTTACTTTTTTTTTTTTTACTATTTTCGTTGATGAAATAGAGCAAAATAAGGCAATTGTGCTGTTGTCAGACAATATAAGTCACTTAATATTAACTTCTTGTTTAATGAACTGTTGTATTAAATCAATATCACATTTGCAAACTCCCTTAATAATCATTAAACGCTTTCACTCATCTTAGTTTATCCCGATCTCACAAAACTCCATTATAATCGACGAAGCTCTCTACACTGCACAATGAATATCTTATTTACACCCCGTCAACACTGTTTGTTATAATGAGAGGATATGTCTGTGATACATTACTCAACGCTGCAGAAACATGTACGTATATTAGAATCTTTGAAGCTCCCTCAGCGCAAACACAATAAATATTATATATATCGCAAATGCGACTGAAATGGTCGCACTGTAGAGCCCTGTTTATGTTGTTGACTTTGAAACTGTCTATACATAATTTAGTTTAACGTGATCTGCTGTACTAAAAGAACTAAAACCAAAATAAAAATCTATAGATATTTTTTTAAAAATCTAAAATTCTATAGAAAACTAAAAATCTATACAGACATTAAAAAATGTAATGCTAAACACAAAAAATACTAAAGCTTTAACTAAAACTAAAATGAAAATACAAAAAATATTTATAATAGTATCTCTATGATACTAAAATAAGACGCTTTAACACAAATTATTCCTTTGAGGCAGGTCTTTGAATCTGTTTTATGAACAAATGACTCTTATGAATGAGATCTTTGAATCTAAGGTCAATATAATTATCAAGTTTTAATCTATAAATATCTGGACTTGACAAGTCATAAAATAGATCAAAAGAACTAAAGTAACATACTGATAATTGTCATTAATTTATTCAAAAAACATTTGATTTTGAGAAGTCAAATTTAAATCACTGCATCTATAACAAATAAGACAATTATCATGTCACTGATTAGTAAAACAATGATAATTATAAAGTGACACTAATCTATACAAACCTCCCTGCTCCCACAATATGAAAAATCATTTACTGCAGCCTTGCAATCAGGTCACCCGATTTAATAAACAAAATTCCCCTAGACTACACTTGGATTCTTCTGCCAAAACAACAGAATGCTTTTCGAATGATCTGTCCATGTAAAATTCGGTAAATGGTGGAACATTATCAGGTAACGCGACTCAATTATTGGGCGATGGGTCAGAAAACCAAATTCTGTACAACATGTTACACATAACTAGACAAATTAGTTGTGACTGACGAGGCATCACTGAACACAAACAACAGATCGTCTTTTAACATTCTGTCAGTGTGAACGTTTTGTCTGACTTTAGATCTCCGATCCGCCCAGTATTTAAGGTTAGACTGTCTCACTGACAGCACCTATTTAAACAGAAGCATCTTTAGATTCATCAAGAGTTCTTCAGGAACAAAAGCAGCCGGTGCCGAAGCTGATTACAGGGGTGCAAACATCGAAAAGTTAGGAGACTGTGACTCACCATGATTTCCATCGGACTCCAGCGTGACGTTCCCCAGTACATCGCCATTCCCTGATTGATCACATGGGTCATCGCCCGCACAGTCTCTGCCAATCAGACCGCAGATTTTCAGAGATTTACAGCACCATACATCATATCATGCTGCCATCAGAATGTGTCGGTACGGGTGAACGTGTGAAATATTAACAAGCAAAAGAAAACAAGCTCGATTAATGCAAGGGAGGGGAGTTTAAATGATAAATCGCTTCTGGATCGAGCTGAAGAATTTGAATCAATACGAGTAAGACAAAATAAACAACTTGTGCTTCGGGTCAATATCAACCTCGGCTCAAGGAAAAAAAAAAATTCAAATGAGGGCTGGAAAAGATCCATCCTTAATAACAAACACCAGCCATGTCAAAACATCAGTCTTATGAGCTTGAGAGTCATTTACTGCTCTCGCTTGACTATATGAGATCGGTCCAAGAGCGCAAGAGAGAAGCAGACTATTGAAGTGTCGAGCTCTTTAATGACAAGAAAAGCAGATGTCTACAGACCCCTGAGCTGTTTGTGTTTCAACCATTGAACTGTGTGAACTTTCTAAAGGGCAGCTAGGCTAATAAAAGTAGATCAAATAACATTTCTTCCCTTTCTCCCGAAAACATTGGTTGAGATTTAATTCAGGCTGGCATCTTACAAAAGGCCAAATGGGAAAATTGCAAAGATCTTGTTTGCACATGATTGGAAGAATCAGTCTGGAGCACAAACAGTACATGAGTTATAGTAGAGTTTAAAGGGGACCTATTATGCAAAATTCATGTTTGGACATAAATGTGTGTTGGCAGTGTGTGTACACAACCACCCTATAATGATAAAAATCCACCCACTTCTTCTTTTTTAATCCCCATAAATCATAAGCAGTGTCTCCCAACTACCTGTTTTCTGACTTGGTGCTAATGTGACATCACATTAGCCACAGGCCCCGCCCACGAATGTTGACAGACACTGCCGTTTTAACATAGAACCGCCCTGAGCGACTTCACACACAGCGAGTTGTACACAGTCCGCCATTGATGCACTGACGAGAATGTCTCCCAAGCGTTTTAGGTGTTCTGTAGGTGGATGTATGAATCCACATAGCTCTCTCCTTATTCCCGAAATCTGAGCCGCTGAAGACAAGGTGGATTAATTTTGTTTTAGAAGAAAATGCTCCCTCAACTCTACCGAAATTCATTTATGTCTGCGCGAATCATTTTACACCGGACTGCTTTGTGAATGAGGGTCAGTATAAAGCAGGTTTTGCACAAAAGTTGCTCCTGAAGAATGGAGCAGTGCCAACTGTTCGTGATCCAGCTACACCTCCAGAAGAAATAAGTATCACGCTATTAGTTTTCCAAATTGCCTTTCTGAAAGAGCTTCTTGGCACTTTGTAATGCTTGTCACTAATGCTGATAAAGCTACAATTGTCTGTCTGTTTTTACTGATGCTACCTTCACATGCTACCAGAAAGATCATAAATAGGAAAGTGGGCAAAGCAACGTGAAGTCGACCGCTGGAATTAGTCGAGCTCATAATTACAAGTGGGGCTTATAAAGTTTGTAATAGCATGCGATGGCACCATGAGTTATTTTTATTGTGCCGTGCTCCTGTCTGTGTAATTCATAAAGTGCATTTTTTAGGCACAGTACAATCAGATGACTGACTTTTAAACCGAGTGTGTTTTCTGTAAATATAACAGGCTTGTACTAATAGTGGAGTGTTTATTTGCAAAGGCTAGCACCGGTATTGCTTGAGCTTGAGCTCTTGAAGCTCTGCCCTCTTTTCCGGGAGCACCAGCTCATTTGCATTTAAAGAGAAAGACGAAAACGGCGCGTTTTGGCTCATACCCTAAAAGTGGCAATTTTAACAAGCTATAAAAAATTATCTGTAAGGTATTTTGAGCTAAAACTTCACACACACACTCTAGGGTAATCAGAGACTTATTTTACATCTTGTAAAAAGGGGCATAATAGGTCACCTTTAATATTTAAAGGTTTAGAGCAAATGAATTGAGATTGAGATGTACCTTCCATGGGTGTGTTGGGGTCTGGTCTGTTTGCAAACACTACGTCCACATACTCTAACTGCAGTCTCTCCAATGATGCCTTCAAACCTACCGAAGAGTAACACAAATCAATTCAGCACACGATTAGTTGAATGAACGAGACATTTAAATCAGTTCATGTCAGCTGCAGCTCTGTAACATGTATGCTTTGAGGTCCACTCACCTTCTATAATGTGTTTTCTTGACAGTCCTCTCTCAGTCTCTGCTCTAGAAAACAGCAGTATATGTACTATTATGCAATTATCATTGACGCCAACTTTAGTAAATTATATTGCTAAGACATTACTTGGTTTAATGTTAGAAATTAGGCCAAAATAGTTTATTCAATTCAAAATATAACACTATTTCAAAGACTTAAGTGTTCATATACCAGAAGTAAAAAGCAACAGCTACAATAATTCACAAGTGTAACATTAAAGCTTCAGAAGTATTGTTCGCATAATGCATGATTCATTTTATAATAAATATTAAACATACATACTTTCCACCCCAAAATATTTTGGTTGTAATGACTAAACTGGAGCGTCTGCAAAAAAAAGAAGAAAAAAAAATAGGTCACACTTTTTGAAAGGCTTTTAAAAAGTAATTATCAAGTGGCTTGCGGTAACCATTTTAATTTCAAAGGAATGCATGGTCACACATACACATACACATTTATTTAGCTGCCTAAATGAGGACATAGCACAGACATCTGCTTTCATGTAAAGGTTCATAAATATATTCATGTAAATGTTGTTATTACATACATAAATAAATGCAATTACATGCATATATGCATGTATATATACAGTATATATATATATATATATATATATATATATATATATATATATACACACACACACACACACACACACACACACAGTATACATATATACACACAAACACTAGTAACTGCTTACATGTAATCTGGACTACATAATCAGAATCCAGGAAATTAAGTACTTGTCGGTTATGTTATATTTTAAAATGCTCATAATCAGATTACAGTTACTTTTTAAGGATTGTATGATTACATATTTTTCACATAATTCACTACCACTTAGTTGTTGTTTTTTTAAGAATATCCTTTCCTCAAACGGAAGTTCTGTCATATTTAGCTCACTTTCTCTCACAAATTGTAAGTAAGCCCACACACAGACACAGAGTACAGAAATAAGCTATGTCTCTGCAGAGGTGAGGGGTTGTGTGTCCTGATATTGATGCACACTGACTAGCAGGATGACTAAGCAGCATGATATCACACACACACACACACACACACACAAATGTGAAGATCCTTTCTTGCAGAGAGCTCAGTTACTCTTCATCTCATTATGCAAAAACAGTGAGAGCCCACCCTGCTTTAAATTCCTTTCCTCAAACGGAAGTTCTGTCATATTTAGCTCACTTTCTCTCACAAATTGTAAGTAAGCCCACACACAGACACAGAGTACAGAAATAAGCTATGTCTCTGCAGAGGTGAGGGGTTGTGTGTCCTGATATTGATGCACACTGACTAGCAGGATGACTAAGCAGCATGATATCACACACACACACACACACACACACACAAATGTGAAGATCCTTTCTTGCAGAGAGCTCAGTTACTCTTCATCTCATTATGCAAAAACAGTGAGAGCCCACCCTGCTTTAAATGAAAACATCTTTAAAAAAGGGCTTCTATTAACCATGAACCTCCTTTAGCTCATGTTAAATTACACACACATATATCAGGACATCAACTGCACAATAAACACACCCATGCGACTGTTTCATAATTCAATATCTAGACGGGACATCTACGGGGTGAGCCAGGCTTTAATAATTTATATTTCTGCCTGTCTGGGGTTGCAGTGGCACAATCTCTGAGGCATTGGGCTGAGTTATCAGCACAAGATAAGAAGCGGCCGAAGGAAATGAAATGTTGTTAATGAACATACCTCCATCCTTTCTTCTTTATGATGTTGCCCAGCACCATCTCCGCCCTGCAACAGAAAACCAGATGGTTATCGGACTAATCCGTCATTTTATTGACATATACAGCCAACAAAACAGGCCGCTGAAGGGACATTTCAAAGTTCAGTAAATCACCTCTTTCAAGATGGCAATATCATACAATACATGCAAATTAAAAGCACACTTCAATGCCACAAGACTTTATTAAGGATTTTTATGAAAACATACAAAACAAGCAATAATACTGTCAACCAAGAAATGTTGAGCTTTTTTGTCTCTTTTTCCTGTTTCTCATTGGTGTAGCATTTGGACCAATCAGACACACCATTTTTCATTAGATTTAACAAATTAATTATTCATTAGATTAACAAATATTCACAGACCCCTCACCCAATAAACATACTGGGTGCCAGGATGTCTGTGAACGACACCAGGCCCCATGTTTACCATGGCAACCAGGACCCCTCAGCCAGATCAGATAAACTTCTAAAAGTATGCCATTTTATATAGATAAACCCTTCAGCCAGATCAGATAAACACCTAAAAGTATGTAGAGAGATTCTTCCTTCTACTCAGTTCTCTCTAAAACAGACACATAATGCCCATAAAAATGGACTCTTCTCTAATTAATTCATAGGAAAACCTTTCTTTGAATGAACACACATATACTTCAGTTCATTGTGTATGTTGTTACTGTTCTTGTATATTGTCTTTTGTATTGTATACTGTTTTATGCATGCTTATGACAGAAGTTCATGTAATCTTACCATGTTTAGTATATATGAATTCGTCTTCTGATTATCTAAACGAGTGTATATTATATGTTGGTACATACATAGGCAATACATTAGTGTTCTAAGAATCTTTAGTAGTTTTTGCATCAACACCCAATCAAATTACATATGCAAAATACCATGCTCTAAGACAAAGAGTCGTAAACTTTCCCTCCAAAAGTAAAAATCACCATTGGCACTGTGACCTCCCGGAGGTGTGAGCTCAATAGGAGATAAAGCTCTCACATCAGTGACCCGCCTCAGTCAGTCTGCGGTTCTGTTAGATTCTGAGAAGATGAGGATGTGAGCTAGAACGCTTCTGCAAATCTTAAGTCTGCACCAGGCTTTGTCTTTGTCTTTCCATTCACCAAAGATCCTAGGATCTCAGCTGATGTCTCTCTTAGCTCTTTTTCACTTTCCACTGGGAAGAAACTCCCAACCACCATTGAGTCAGAACATCTTTGCAATTCATCACTCTTTAAACCCAGAAGAACGTGATCTCAAGTCCAAAACCTTGAAACCATCAATTAATGTGCGCATTGTCAGTAAATCACCTGCAGAATTTCCCCTACCATTGGCTCTTTTATGGAATTGCGCTCTAGCGCTAATTTGCCGTTTAGTAAATCTGCCCTTGATGTTTAAATATGCAAACGAGGCTAATTTGCATGTACTTTTTTCACTCCATACATCAGAAAATACAGTCAACAGCCATACAAATATAATTTGATATTTTTAGGAATAAAACGTTGTTTAAAATCAGGCAAATTATATATGAACCAGTGTTAAAGTTCGTTAACGAATATTTTTCATCATCGTCTTCGTTAAGGAACATTTTTTCTGTGATGAAGACGAGACGTTGATGAGCTAAAACTAATATCTGATGATAAAAACTATGACGAAATTTATGCCGCGTCTTCATTAACAAGACGAGAGGGGACTATAAATGTTATTTGAGGACTACCTGACATTCAAAATACATCCTATAGGCTACTGTCTTGTCCTTAAAAATGTGCGTCCCTGTCATTGGATTGCAATTGGATATAAGGGGCGTTTGCATATCTAGTCTCAGTATGGCAGCCGCAGTGGATAAATAGACTAACAAAATGCGAACTAGCGATCTGAAACAATGGCCTTAGCACCGAAAGGGTTGGGGATAAGGTGACCAGTTGTCCCGTTTTTCCCTGGAGTCACAATTCGTTGTCGATTAATTTAAAGCTAGTGAAGGCGGGATAGGCGGAATTGCACTGATAGAAGTGCACTCTCGCGAGCATGCTCCACTTCTTCAGTTCTCATATACAGCGCGCGATCAGTTCTCAGTGCTCAAATACAGACACAGCAGTCCAAATGTTTATCGTGTAGAGTATCTCACGTAAATACAGTTATGGATTAAGTGAACGTAAACAGGTGGATTAATTAAACTGCACTTGTGTCAGTATTACATGCATGCCTTCCGTCTTAAAAGAACAGCATTCCTACTTATGGTAAGTAGGCCTACCTATCCGTGTCATTAATGTTAACCAACAAAAGATGCTAAATAAATATTTTAAGTAAACCTCCTGTATCTGAAAAATTTGTTTAATTTGTATCTCTTTCGTATTTGTCTTTTTGTCTTATTCTGCTTCTTTTTCAAAAATTATAAATTATATACGTATATTAAATATATTATATATGAACAACAATATTTTTTATAAGTTTCTCCCTTTTTTACTACTGTTAAAGGGATAGTTCACCCAAAAATGAAAATTGTCATAATTTATTCAAGTTTTTCTAAATTTCAAATTTCTCATAAGCTTAATTGATTTAGTCTAAAGAGAGAAGAATTAATGACTATTTTTGTTTGAAGACTATAAAATAGCTACCAAAATAAATGTCGGTAACTGCAGCTTGACTAAAAGTAATGACTAAAAATTGACAAAAATGCAATGACTTTATCGTCGACTACAACTAGACTAAAACTATGAAAGACTCAAATTACTAAAATGTGACTAATGGTGCGTTCACACCAGACGCGAAGCGAATATGCGCATCGCGCCACTCGCTCTAGATTACTTGCAGGATGTTTCTCGTGTCACTCGCGCGAATAAAAACAGCGCGATCAACCATGCTGGAGATAACTACAGTCGCTGTGTTGTACCTATTGTCAAAAAGTCCCAAATACAATGGAAAGCCAAATGCCGACGCGTCTGGGTTCACAGCACCATCCAGAGGAGGATGAATAACGTTAGGATCCTTTATTAATGTGTGTGTTACATTTTAGTACTGTTTTTGAACTTGCGCGAAAGACGTGATTGAGGCGAATATCTCGTGTTCGCGGCAAACGCGTCGCGCATTTCACGTCATTCGCGTCGCCTGGCGCGAATTCGCCTCTATTCGCGTCTTTGCATTGACTTTGCATGTAATCTACTTGCGCGAATAATTAAATTCACGTTTGGTGTGAACACACCATAAGACTATTAAGCATTTTCGTCTCAAGATAAAGACCAAGACTAAATCAAAAATGCCTGTCAAAATTAACACTGATATGAACAAACTTCAAAATATAGATTAAATACAACTACACTGTTGGTGTAGAGGAGAAAAACTCATTTTGAGAAAACAGCCTATAAAGATATGTACTGTAATTGAAATCTACAGACACAAATGGATAAAGTGCAATAAAATAAATACTTAAATGTGTATTTTGGATGTTTTCTTTTTTCTAGTCTGAAACAATACATTATAGCCAAATATATAATAGGCCAAAATTTCAAAAGGATTTTGCCTGTAGTGTCTTGCTTTAAAGCGGTAAGGTGTGGGAATGGGTAATTAACACAACCTGGACGCTAAAAGCATATTTAACTCCCTGAAAAATGTGCCTCCTTTTCATACGCAGATGAGGAGAAGTGTCAGCAACAACCTGGAGACTAAAATGCTCTCTGGCAGCCATTAGTGATGCTGAGGGTGCTAATTGAGCCCAATGAGGATACAGTTCATGCTGTGATTGTCCCGGTGAGTGAGATTCTCCCTCGGGCCGCACACTAGTCAATTCAATGAACCGCTGCGCTGTAATTTACTGCTTCACTATTAATCTCTCTAAAAATACTTCTGCAATCTTGTTTTTTCTTAGTATGGCATCTTATGGGAAGACAAAGAATGTTAAAGGAGTACTTCACTCTAAAATGAAAATCACCCTTATTTTGCTCCAAACCCCTTGAGTTTGCTTCTCTTCAGTGCTGCTCTTTTTCATTTAGTGAAAGTGAATGAAGCAAGACGCTGTCACGCTCCAAAAACAGCAAATGTTCTTCTTAAAGTTCAACAATATCCCTCCCCATTCAGTCTCATTAAATGGAAACCAGCAGTGTGATTTTTTGTTGTTGTTGTAATGCACAGAAGGAAACAAAATGGGGGTTGATCTTATAGTTCAGTAATGACATTTTTAACTGTTGGGTGAATGAACCTTTTAACAATAAAGTTTGGTGGAAATGTTTAGTTGTGCCATAAGGCAGTGTTGATTTAAGTAAATCTAAAGCTATTAAAAATGTTTTTGTAAATTGAAATAAAGCTGAAATAATACAAAATATAAATATTAGATGAAAACTTAAAGTAAATCACACACACACACACACACAACAAATTAGAAATGTTGCCTTGGCAAGTAACTGAAATAAACAATGTTTAAGTAATAAAATAACTAAAACTAAAATAAAAATTGGCTACAGCTAAATAGAAATATAAGGGAAAATACTAAAAGCACATAACAAAATTACTAAACCTAAACTAAGATTAAAAACAGAAAGGGAAAAAAAACTATTTAAAAATAAATACTATAATAGTTTATAAATAATACTAAAATAACACTGTCTTCAGGTGAACTAACATTTATTTTCTCAAGCTTTTAACTAAGTAACTTACTGAAAGAAAAGGTCCAAACGCGGATATAAGACATACAATTTTTGCATTGCACACAAGTGAAAGTCAGCTGGTCATTATCAACAAATAATAATAAATAATAAAAAATAAATAAGATAAAGCACACCTGCTCACTGTAAACAATCCATCTTATATATGTACAGCTATATGTGCATAAAAAAATAAAACAAAATTGTATTAATCCTTAAAAAATAAACATTATTATACAGTACATTATTCTAAATGATTGTTATTATAAAACATATTATAATAAAAATATTTGATAACAGAATGCGGTGACTTATCAATCAGAATGAAGTATTCCAGAGAGTTGTGCAAGTCCAACAAACTAATCAATCTATCACAAAGATGGATGAACATCTTTAATCTTGATTGATTCTATGTTTCACAATGATCCAGGCTTTATATGAAAAGAGAAAGCTGTTGAATGCTAGCTGTTGTGCTTTGACTTTTAGTGGTCATTAGCTTCAGAGAGAGGTTCATTAATCTACATGAATGTATGCTGCACTTTCTTAAAAAGTCCCAACTTTAAAGGAGGTTCCCTGAGATGGCAGAACACAGCTCATCTTCATGAGGATTTCTGAATATGGATGCTAGTGCACTTATGTTAGTGTGTCGAATAGAGTCGGAGATGGACACAGACGCGTGAGGGGGCGGCTCAGCCTGTGTTTTTGTTTGCTTATGTGCGAGGGAGAGAAGTGTATTTGTAGTGTAAGTGTATATTTGTGGATGTAAGTGTTTTGGTGCTATATTTACGCAGGGGTGTTTGTCCCGTCACGGCCTGTGGGTTTAGCGCACTGCATTGACCGCAGCTGGATGGTAGACGCTGCCGGAGCTGTATTTATTCCAGTCGGATAAATAAAACAGACCTTCCCACTCTCATGTCTTCCCACACTCTCACCCCATCAGCACCACCGACGTTCAGCGATGCCCACACCCAGCGCTCAGCTAATGACAGAGCACATTACCAACCGCTCTCCTCACCTAATTTGCACAGTTTATTTATGAAACATAATGTGTCAGGCAACTTTCCTTGTTTGGAGGAAGCAAAATGCGCTCTAATATGGATTCTCAGCACTAAGAATAACATTTGAGATTAACTCACCGATATACAGATATCTCTCAAATTGGAAATAGCAGCAGCGTTCACAATGAACACGGGCTAAACATCAAAGGAAAGTAAAAATAAAAAACATAACATCTAGGATTTATCATTTAGAGTGGGGCAAAAAAGTATTTAGTCAGCCACCAATTGTGCAAGTTCTCCCACTTAAAAAGATGAGAGAGGCCTGTAATTTTCATCATAGGTATACCTCAACTATGAGAGACAAAATGAGAAAAAAAAATCCAGAAAATCACATTGTAGGATTTTTAAAGAATTTATTTGCAAATTATGGTTACATATATACATACATATACATATACACATACATATACATATATATATATATATATATATATATATATATTTATTTATTTATTAGGGCTGGGTTTTGACACAAATTTCACGATTCAATTTGATTCTCATTCACAAGCTTCAGATTCGATTCGATTCAATATCAATTATTTTGGATATATAAAGCAGATACAGTACATGCCAAATTTTCTCAAGGAAAAAAAAATCGCAATTAATGCTGTAAAATATACAAAGTCAGTTGGTACAACATTACTATAATGTTGAAGGTTAAAATTAATAAAGTTTTTACAATAAAGTTACAGTTACTTATTAATATTCCTACTTCAAATTTTTATTTTTTTTAATATAAACATTTAAATGGTGGCTGTCATAAAAACTTGATGGATTTATTCAACCATAAATTAAACATCGAAGAACAGTACAAATTATAATGAATATGTTATATGGTGCATATTTTAAGCAAAATGCCCCTCTCTACCGTTTATTTTTCTATCTGACTAATGAGTTTATGGTCACTGAATATGTTTTTCTGAGGTAAATGTGACGATACGTGACATTGTTTACAAGACGTTATATTGACGTCTTTGCGTGGCTGAAACACTGATTGAGCGATTACATGAGACAGGATACAGATTGTAAAGTATTTCTTTTAACTTAGCTTCGGATATTTAGTCATGTTTATTTTGTGCTGAAACTGGTATTAATGTGGAGGAGATGATCAGTTCACGTGCACCTCGCGCTGCCGCGTCTGTTGAACTGAGGCGCTACAGCGATCTGCCACTCCACATTAAACAACGACAAAACGGCATTTATTGTTTAAAAACTGCAATACAGTGGACAGAATTTGAAATCTGAGACTTTGTTTTATATTAAAAGTACCAAAGCACAACACTTATTGCGATATATTGGATGGGAAGTGCCCTTCAACGTTCCGTCCATTAACTGAAAACAGGCTAGACTAATCGATTCCTGGGATTTAAGAATCGATATTGTTCACAATAAAACCTTGCTGATTAAATAATGAAAATAAACGCCAGTAAAGAGAGCTTGTATCAGAGGCAGGATATCCATATACTAATAAACCTTTTTTAGTATTTCAGAGTGGATGCAAAACAACTTTAATGTCATCTCCAGCAGCGCTGAGGTTCTAAGTATATTTTGTATCACACTAGGAGGGCTGATGTTTTCTCTCTAAACACAATGGTTTGTAGCAACCTAAAGCCAGGCCGACCTCAAACTTCAAACACAGTGACCTTTACATACATAAATAAAAAAGGGAAGAAAAAGAGGAAAATATTTATATTTATTAGGAATACAGATTGACACACACACACACACACACACACACACACATACATACATACATATATATATATATATACAGTACGTGTGTTTTTAAAAGAAGTCACTTCTGCTTACCAAGCCTGTATTTATTTGACCCAAATCACAGAAGTAATTTATAATATTATTTTGCTGAATAATTTTGGCATTCTTCTTTGGTAATTGATCAAGCAGGCTTGTTGGAACATTACATCTCCAAAGAACCTTAACATGTCTTCTAAGTAAAGAGTAATTGCTGAATTTGTTAAGTTTTAGAGGGGGTGTACTCATTTATGCTGTGCACTGTACATATTTATGCCCCAATCTCCATAACTTCCAAAAACGAGACTGAGATTGCAAATTTTGTGTATATGGCAGACAGCCACTTACACATAAATAAAAACAGTAACGTGAACATTTAGGTATTTTACAATCTTATTTTTGGGTAACTACATCTCTTTGTTATTTTCTAATTCTCTACTGCCATATAGTGAGTGGCTTGTGGTTTTGGTTTAGGTAATGTAACCGTGTTCATTGTCAAAGCGAGATAATCCTACTGATCACTGTGCTTCATCTTGCTCACAGCTGATGAATCTCGCTTGTATGAAGAGATGATATTGCCTCAAGATCCAACTAGAAGTAATACTGTGATATCCGCCATGACAGTTTCGAGTCCTTCCCTGATCTCAAGAACAGCACTGCTGGGTTGTGCCGAGTCGTTATGACAAGATCAACACAAGCTCCTACTCAAGACACGGACGAGGAACACCATTTCCAACGATGCCCTGGGTCAGCTGCCATAGAAATGTTCATTCAAATTTTGAAATGAGTCTTAGTTTTGAAGAAAACTTGAGGAAAGTTCATGCTTAAAAAAAAAAAAACTTATAAAACTGACAACTAGATCTAATATTTAAAATATAAGCAAACACCATTAATATTTGAAATAAAACATTATATAAAAGTGGCTGGAAATGTTGTGTCAACTTTTTAAAATATCACATTACTTAACTAATTCACCAGATAAACAGAAAGAAAATATTTCAATACATGGTAATTTGACGGGGTGGGCTTTGTGTATTTTGGCGCACTCACTTTCCTGCAGCGTAGACCTCTGCCGTGTCGAACAGATTGATCCCGTTCTCGTATGCCAGAGTCATCAGCTGCTCTGCAATCTGTCAGAATGAAGGAAGGGAGAGGATCCAGCATTCAAGGTGTTGCAGTCTATTCCATTATTAAAAGCTGTATTCTGCACTGTGCTACTCTATAAGTCATTTTTAATGTGTTTAGGTACATTTACAGTGCACGCTAGAAAAGAAAAATTACTGCAAGCTGAATAGTGTATTAGCAGAGAAAAATTGCGTCTATACTGTAAATGCACTATTTGAATGTTTAATAAATAAATAAAAATAAAGCATTTTGCACTTGATACTTCCCCAAACAATGTTGTTCCAAATTACACTGTAATTATAAGATATATTTTTATCAACACAATATGAATGGTGATTTATGGAAGAATGCTATGTAATCATAATATAATATTATAATAGTTTAGTTTTTTTTAAGTTGGAAAACATTTATATAATTATATAATTATATACAAGTTATAAACTTTGCAAACTTTGTCAAACGAAGGACACTGATTCAGCTAATTGTAAATCCACTTTTAGCAACAATAACTTGAAGTAATCATTTTCTGTATGACTTTATCAGTCTGTCACATCGTTCTGGAGGAATTTTGGCCCACTCGTCTTTACAACATTGCTCCAGATTATTGAGGTTTGTGGGCATTTGTTCATGACCTGCCAATTACCAGATGATTTGATAGGATGATCCTAATACAGAAAACCATGGAATTCAATAGGGTGTCCTTTCTTTTTCACATTACTACACATGAAAATGAAGAACTCAAAATACAAGCATTTAACATGAGCTTTTATTACACAGCTCTCCGGAACAATTAGTTCTGATCAGGCATTTGCGGCATATTTAAAAAATGAATACATATACACACAGACACACAAATATATATATAGAGATATATATATATATATATATATATATATATAGATATATAGAGAGAGATATAGAGAGAGAGAGAGAGAGAGAGAGAGAGAGAGAGGGAGAGAGAGAGAGATCTGGGTATATTTAGATATTTATTTATTAAGTAAGGGTTTATCAGTCTTAAATAAAAATAAATATATCTATAAATAATAGAAAAGACAATTTAAGACTTCTTCATATATTTTACGGACACATTGTTTAAAGGGGTCATATGATGCTGCTAAAAAGAACATTATTTTGTGTATTTGGTGTTTATGCGGTTTAAGGTTCAAAAAACACTGTATCTCCTCTATGGCGCGCCTTTCTGAAACGCGTAGATTTTTACAAAGCTCATCGGTCTGAAAAAGCGAGGTGTGCTCTGATTGGCCAGCTATCCAGTGCGTTGTGATTGGCCGAATATTTGGGTTGAAGTGTTCTGGAACAGTGTTGTAAATACAACTTAACCACTGATTTCTAGTCGTGTCCATTTTTGGAAGGCCAAGCAAAGTAGTTTCGCTTTCACAACAAAACACAGCGTCACACACGGTGTCCTAGAGTGAGCGGTGGCAGCCTATAGTGAGCAGAGGCCGGGGGATAAAGTGAGGAACGGCAGGCGGGCTGAGTGAGCAGAGGCCGGGGGATAAAGTGAGGAACGGCCGGCGGGCTGAGTGAGCAGAGGCGGCGGATTCGACGAAGGAGCATCCGGCGGGCTTGCGGCAACAACATGTGATGACCCCGGGCTGGACTCCGCTTCGTCCACGGTGAAAGCCAATCCGGCGATCCACAGCGCAAAGTTGTAGTATTTCCTCAGCAATCAGCACGGATCAGCTCCAGGCATGACGAAGCAGATATCGTCCAAACAAAGTAGTTTCGCTTTCACAACGAATCACACAGCATCTTCACTACATGGTGGCGGCAACAACAAAACTAAAGCGAGAATAAAAGTTACGCCTTCTTTCTTTGCGTGAACATTTGGGCGGCGTTATGCAAATCTTCTCACATAGTGATGTAGACATGTGGGGGCGTGTTAGAACGAGCTGTTTTAGGTAGGCGTGGCTGACTCTTAATTTTTATAAAGAATATCTCTTTGGATTTGAGACTTTAGTCTTTGCAACTTTACAGATCTTCTTTATGCACCAATAGCTTGTAACACTCCAAAGAGAAAGGAAAAATTGAAATCGCATCACATGACCCCTTTAAGGGTTAGTTCACCAAAAAAAAAAAAAATTCCATCATTTACCAACCATCATGATGTGCTAAACCAGTATTATGTTTTTCCTCTACAATGTTTAATTTAAAAACAATGTTGCACTGCAATCATTAGACCAATTACGTTTTGGCATCACTGGCACCAAACCTGGTGCAAAGCGTCTAAATGAGCAATAAATGAGGTCTGATTTTCACTTGATAATTTTTTTTTTTCAATGTTTGACAATATAAAACACATTGTGTTCCATGGAAGAAATAAAACTAATATAGTTGTTTGGAAAGACAAGAGGGCGAGTAAGGAGGACATTCATTTTTGGGTGAACTATTCCTGTAAGTGTACAAGAATATAAAAGTTCACATCAGGACCGGTCAGTGTTTACACTCATCATACCTCATCTGTGATCTGTCCTCCAAATGTCACCCATGTTCCTGTAAAGAAATCTAGAATCAGTCACTACTTTTCACAAGATAAACCAGCTTTAAATGATTATCAGTGATCCACCAATGACACTATAAAGAGTAAAGCCTTAAGATGAAGCTACAGATAACATGGATAATATTTAATGCCCAGCTCAAGAGAACAGAACAACACTGGCTGCATGGTGCAGATTTCTGCTGTCTGCCACTACTAGCAGTTCAGTTTGAAGAAAATCCATCTTGTGACAAAAAGACTACAAAAGCTTGTATTGTTAGTTGCAGGTTTCCTTATCTACTTCACAAAAGGGCTTGATGAGGAGGCCATAAAGGTACCTAATCCAAGACATGAGACTCTCAGGCCCGACTTCCCCAGGTTTCTGGAAAAAAGGAAATAAAGACAATGATTAATAGGTTTTACTCTGCTTTCTATATCACTTTGTTCTCTCTAAAGTCAGAGTAATACCATTGGAGTACTAAATCAGACTGTCAGCTTTGAAAGTGCCAACCTAATTTTCTCTCTCTCAAAAAAAAGTTATGTTCCAAAAACTAGTGAGCTGCCTATCAAGACGGCAAAAATATTTGTTCCCAAGGTGAAATAAATTGTGAGTCGAGCTTTCTGTACAGTTGAGATGCCGCCCATGTAAGCTGTAGACAGCAAGGCAGCTCACTAGGTTTTTGGAACAGATCTACTGTCTTCAAAGCAATGAGATTCTTCAGTGACCCCAGCCCGAGTCCTGTAGATGCCACCTTGGCTGGCAGGGGAGTTTATGGAGTCTGCAAGACATTCCTGCTGATTGGCTTATCATGGGGAAAATGAGACTTAGCAGTGTCCGAGGGTAGATTACTGACCCCAGGGCCTTATGGGAGCGAGGAAGACTATGGAGCTTATAGAGACAGCAGCTATAATGAAGAGAACTGGCTAAAGGAAGGCTAAACAGTACAGAGTCACAGAGCCACATGAGAGAAAGAGAGAGGTTTTCAACTTCTGTACCATCCTCTGAAAGTCCGCACAGATCATCTCAAGAGGACAGCTCTCACACCCAGAGGTTTGGACAAAAGAATTTGGACCCAACTTTGTTTTGTTTACTTTTTTTTTAATGTTGTTTTAGTTTTGCTTTAATTTTTTTTATTTTCCAGCCAAGAAAACTGGTGTGCCAAAAAGAACAGTGTTGCTTACAAAGCCAAAAAGATGGTAAGATGATAATAAGATTTGTAAAGGTTCACAGAAGGAAAACAAAACAAGATTAGAACAAATAAAACAACAGATTTGAGCCACAGACTATTGAAATGAGCAAAACAGAAGAACAGCATGTACTTTCTCTATGTGTGTGTGTGTGTGTGTATTAGGGCTGGGGGATATGTTGCATATTTGAAAACATTTAATATATATACAACATTCTTTCTAAATTACAATAAAATTTAATTCCCATTTCAATAATTCTGTTCATCACAACAATTCCATAGTGCAGTCACTATATATTACCATGTAGTGCTACTTTGACGCATAGAAGTAAAAATTATTTATTCATTAAAGAAAATCAACATGGCCTGATTGTTTGCACTGAAATATTTTATTGGTTTGTAATATTTATTGAAAAACCTATCGAAAATCGGCAATATCTACTTGGCAACAAATGATACAAAACTTAAGATTTACACAAATATAAAATAAAATTATACATATATATATATATATATATATATATATTTATTAGGGCTGTCAACGTTAACGCATTAACGCATGCGATTAATTTTACAATCCTTAACGCGTTAAAATAATTTTCAGTAAATCAGTAAACAAAATTACTGAAGCACAATTTCTATTCTAACCCTTTAACCCAATGGATGAAGACTGCAATCAAGGTAAAGACGATTGCGGTGGTGTACAGGAGTCGTACAGTAAGCACGTGTGAGTCCGTTATAATAATGCGTGTATGAGTGCTCTTGACACACTGATCGCACATTGTAGTTATGCACAGGCACAGACATTTCCGTACATTCACATTGTTTCCACACACACTCACGATAATGTTTTGATTTGTCATGTGTATGTTGCTGTGTTTAGTTATTCTGAATGGATCCGTGTACTGTAGTAGATATATGCAGTCAGCAGGCGGTTGGTTTAGTTTTTTTTGGCATCTCCATCTGGTCCTGTTCAGTATCGCAACTTGACCACTCTAAAATGTAAAAAAGCTCTTTGCTGTTGCACTGTACACATACTATAAAATT